CATTCCTGGTCCAAGCCAGGATGCCACTGGCCTTCTTGGCCACCTGTGCACACTGCTGGCTCACATTCAGCCTCCTGTCCATCAGCACACCAAGGTCCCTTTCCATCAGGCAGCTTTCCAGCCATTCTTCCCCAAGCCTGTAGGGTTGCCTGGAGTTGTGACCAAAATGCAGGACCCGTCACTTGGCCCTATTGAAACTGATGCAGTTAACCTTGGCCCATCGATCCAGATCAACATGCTGTTGCTCCCGTGCTGTTCCACACAGTGGAGTGTTGGTGCAGGACAGGGCTGGGGCTGCATGGGAATGACAAAGTGACAGTTCCAGGGCAGAGACCTTTACGTGGATCCTCCAGCCTTCCTATCCCTGCCAGACACGTCTGGTTGTACAGCCGAGAGCCCTGGAGTCGCCTCACTGAGCCTCTCCTTGCACGGCCAAGAGGACATGCTATAGCATGAAGACCCAAATCCTTTCTTTCTTGGTTTCATTTACTTTTCTTTTTTTATTTCATTGGCTTGTTAGGCTGTATCTGTCCAGCTGTGGGAGGCATGGGAGGAGACACGGCTGGCCATGTGGGCACTGAAGAGCAGGCAGGAAGGTGCTGTGTGGATGGACAGAGGCAGAGGGGCTCACTGAAATCCTGGCAGGGCCGGGAGGGAGGCTGCAGGGAATCTCACTGCAGACAAATGAGGGTTCAGGCACGTGAGGCAGTCACAGATTACATGTGAGCACTTTCACTCTGCCATTTGCTAACTGCTTTACCTCCATCACGCTTCTGTTCCTTTTTGTCTGTAGTCTCTGTTCCCGCAGAAGCCTTCTATCAGAATCATGGCAGGCTGTACAGCATGATGAAGGGGAAAATGGGTCCCTCCAACGTGCACCTGTTCACAGGCACGCTGTGTAAGGAGCTGCACGAGCACATGGCGCACCTGGGCACTGCTGGCACGGGCGACCTCATGGAGCTGGTGAGGTGAGGACCTTCCCTCGTGTCTGCAGTGCGTGGGGCACAGGTGGCACCAGGAAGCACGTGGAGCTCGGGCTCTCAGCCCTTTGTGGCAGCAGCGCAGCTCTTGGGTCACTGCAGTCAGCGGTGCTGTGGGTGCACAGAGCTCTGCCTGTTCTCCCATTCCTGGCGCAGCCCTGGGGAACAGAGCGTGCCGTGGCCACGGCTGATCAAACCCAGGTCTGATTGGCCTGAAATGTAAAGAAGTGCTCGTGGATTATAAACTGTAGGATCTGTAAGAGGCACCCATGGTAACTTTGTATTGAGTGTGGCCTGTTTTTCTAACTCTGCTGGATGAGGTGGGGTAGAAGAATTAGAATGCAATGTCCTGGCTGAGTTTTATCTTGCTGGCTCAACGTTGCATCCATAGAGCCAGCAGGTGGCTCCATCTCCCTTGTGATCCATAGAAAGGCAAGAAAGTGAGAGGCATTGCCTGAAACACAGGGTTAGAAGTAGCTGGAACCAAGCAAAGACTTCCTGGTAAGGATTTTCTGGAGCACAGCAGTCCAGGTAAAGCGGTCTGGGAAGGGAGCAAGGAATCTGCAGGATGATGGAGGAGCACAAAGGGCAGGGGCGAGACAGAAGGAAGGCAAACAAGCATCGTGCAGTCCAGCAGAGCTGCGGCCAGAGGAGGGATTGCTGTGGGGTCTGGTTGCAGAAGGGGCTGTGCCAGGAGGCTGGCATGGCCAACCTGGAAGAAGGTGGCTGGTAATGAGAGCAAGGGGACCTCAGTGCCACCACTCGGGGAACCGAATGCCCACTGATGAAACCTGGCTATACTCGGGGCAGAGCCCGAGGTCTGTGCATCTCCCACCTCTGCGGAGATCTGTGAGAAGGGTCTGGCTGAGGTGCAGATGTTGTGCCAGCACTGTGCTGTGTGCTGCACGAGGCTCAGCTGCAGCTCAGCGCCGTGTCCTGAGCTCCACGTGCTCCTCCTTCCCTGCCGCTCTCTCAGGGCCATCTTGTCCTTGCAGGCACGTCATGTATCCAGCAGTGGTGAACACTTTGTTTGGGAAAGGCGTCTGCCCGACCAGCCAGAGCCAACTCAGGGAGTTTGAAGAACATTTTTGGAAGTACGATGAGGACTTTGAATATGCTTCTCAGATGCCAGAGTGCTTCCTGAGGTAACGGTAGAGTCTGTGCACGTGGTGTGCTGCATGCGGGCACCTTGATGGCTGTGATAGTGACACTTAGGGATCTTCTCCTGGAGGGGGATGTGCTGTCCTGTGGCAGGCTAGGCATGGACTCCAGTGCTGGTTCAGAATGAAGACATTTATTGTAGGTGCTCACAACCACCCATCAGACCAACCCTGTGAGTTTTCAGCACGTAGCTTTTGCCTCACAATCAACCATTTTCTGAGGTAGTTTTGCTTGATGCCGAGAGGTTGGCTGCGTTATCTGCAGTCCGGTTGCCTCTGTAGGCTTCAGTTGGGAGGATACCCAGGAGGTTGCTGTGCTTCCAAGAAGCAGCAGTAGATGCTGATGGTACAGGGAAGCTGGGCTTTATGGCTCTGGCTGGAACTCATTGCGGGCTGTCACCTGCGCAAACCTCTTCCCCTCCGTTATTTGTTTGTTCCAGCTGTGACTGATTTCTTTCATTCTGATGTAAATCAAAATGTTGCACAACAGCACAGATCACCTTTTATAAAAGAGTGAAATACAGGACATGTGGGATACAGTGCAATAAGGGGAAGAGGTGGATTATTGTTCTCCTTTTAAGAACCCATTTCAAATATGATAATCAAGTGAAATGTGGCACAAACATCAGAGTGTTTTCTTTTAGAGGTGCTTGTACTCCCCGCACTTCATTATTGGATTAAAAGCATACTTTGGAAGAAGTAGAAAGCTCACACTTCTTGAGCCTGGTGTGCTGGTTGGTGACCCTGCACACAGCAGGAGGTTGAAACTCGATGAGCACTGTGGTCCTTTTCTACCCAGGCCATTCTGTGATTCTGTGGTTCTGTGACTTCAGTGTGACGCTAAAGCCAAAACACACCTGGTACACTTCATCTTCCAGACCACTGTCAGTTGTTTTACTTAAAAATGCATTAAGCTTCCAGCTCAAATCCTAGCCCAACTTTGTGACCTCCAGCACTGAAATTCTTGCCATCAATGAAGCCTGAGATGGTCAGCTTTACACCAGGTTGAAGAGCAAGAGTATATGTAACCAGTTCCAATCAAGCTGGAATTATTCAAGGCCAGGCTGGATGTGGCTCTGGGCAGCCTGGGCTGCTGGTTGGCGACCTGCACACAGCAGGGGTTGGAGCTGGAGGAGCGCTGTGGGCCTTTGCAACCCAGGCCATGCTGGGATTCTGTGATCCTCATTAGCATTTTCTATAGCCATCTTTCCTAGCAGTATTTCCTGTGCCTTATCACTGGCCACCTGTTTGTCCAGACTGTCTCAGTTTATCAATGAACTGCATGGAAGGTTCACCTTGCCCCTGCTTTATGCTGGTAAATGAACGTTGGGTCTTAAGCTGCATCAGGGACCTTTAGAAAGGCACCAAGGGCTGTCATTGGATTGGTCTAAGGCCACAACATTCAGCTGTACTTGAGCCATTGTGGCAGCCCCAAGCAAGGCTTCTGTACCAATGACTTGTAAAGGGCCTCCATTTGGTCTACCCAGATTCTCTGTTGCCTTTTGTTGTGCAGATTCTCTCCAACAGCCCATCCACATCATGTATTGAGAACTGGTTAAAATCAGTTGTGCAAGGTCTTGTAATCACGAGGACAAAAAGTGTAACTTCTCATCACAGAGCTCAACAGATTGCTGGTACAAGGGGAGCCCAGCCCAAATTCGAGGACCACTTTTCTGAGCTCTTTTATTATTTGAAAGCTTGTACCCTCCCGTCTCTCCTCTGGGACCCCTCTCTGTGCTTTCTCACACCTTTGCTTCTTGCTGCTGGTCTGACCCTGGGTTACACTGCTGCAGAGCTGACCTTGGGTAGAGGCAACCAGAACCCAAGGAAGGAGCTTGCAGAGCTCTCAGGGCCACAGCAACACCTTGAGTACCTCAGAGTCGCCTTCAGAGAGAACTGGGGATGCTCTGAAAATGAGGCTTTTATTTACTCAGAGATTGACCGAAGGGAGCCAAAATCAAAAAGAAAACGTCAGGTGGAGCGACTGGAAGTTCAGGACTCTCAACCTGGCTGCAGGGTGAGCCCTGGCCAAGGGAAAGGGTTCAGTGCTGCTCCTCCATCAGCCAGCACTGCTGCCCGGCACAGTGATGTTCATCAGCTGGCTGCTGCTATGGTGTTTTTGGAAGGAGACCAAGGAGTCCTTCTCATGCAAAAGGAAATGTTGGTTTGTGCTGCCTCGGTTAAGTGCTCCTTGCTTGTTGCTTTTCTTTACAGGAACTGGTCTAAATCCAAAAAATGGCTTCTAAAATTATTTGAGAAAGTAGTGTCAGATGCTGAAAGAACCAACCCTTCAGAGACCACATCCAAGGTAAACATCCGAGGCTCCGAAATAAGAGGACCTTGTTGTATATTCTGACTGAAGGAATGAAGGGCACTATTTAAGTACTGGAAGAAATACACCAGATGGGTCAGCTTTTATAGATACACATTAATTGTCCAGTAGTGCTGTTTCTTCTGTTGAGCCTTACTTTGTGAGCACTGCTGCTCAGTGTTGTTTGTCTCCTACAGTTCCAAGACTTTCAGATCCTGTGCGGAGTTTGAAGCCAAAGGGTTGGTGCTGTGAGCCATCTGTCCTGGCTTCAGTGCAGTTACAGTGAGCAGCTGAAGGAGAGGGAAGGGCCTCTTCATTGAAAGAGGTTTGGTCACATTAGGTTAGGTTAGATGTTAGGAGGAAGTTTTTCATGCAGAGGGTGGTGAGGCACTGGCACAGGTTGCCCAAGGAGGCTGTGGATGCCCCATCCCTGCAGGCATTCAAGGCCAGGCTGGATGTGGCTCTGGGCAGCCTGGGCTGCTGGTTGGTGACCTGCACACAGCAGGGGTTGGAGCTGGAGGAGCGCTGTGGGCCTTTGCAACCCAGGCCATTCTATGGTTCTGTGATTCTGGGATTCTATGATTCTATGATTCATTGCCTCTCGGGGGCACTGGGCTGTGCAATTTCAAAACCTTCCATGTACTATTTTTAAGCCTTGGTGTAGAGTGATTAGATCCTCCAGCAGCCAGATGAGCAGGAAAAAGGCAGATAAGTGGATTGGAAGGCAAGTACCCTAAATATTGCTTGTGTCAGAATGGTGATAAGTTGTCCTGCTGGTTATTCTCCTGTGCCATGGCAGGAATGCTGCTGGTGTGGATGACAGGCTTGAGTGCAGGCTGGCCTGGGAGTTTCCATCTACCACGTGGTTATAAAACAGATCATTAAACAAACCATATTTTGGGGCAACTTCAAAAGCTTTGCACGCCACGGTTTCATAAAATACATGAGAATAATGGAAAGAGACCAAGAGGGGAGGAGAGAGGACAGCAGGAATGGGACGTGCAGGGAGCAGGGGGCACAGACTCGGGGTCTTGGGTGGGCAGGAACTTTTGCTCTAAGCAAAAGCTGATGCTCAAACATTCTGAGGCTGCTGCAGCTGCAGGGAATGTTACCATGAAGGCCACTGGTCGGGTCAGTAAGGAGCACCCAGAGCTGGGACTGCTGGCACTCAGACCCCCCCTGATGGGCCATGGCAGGAGCAGCAAGAACGTCATTGCTCCTCATCCTGATGGTTCAGTCCAGGTCTTGGGCTCTTCAGAGGGCAGAATTGGGGTGAGAATGATGTAGGAAGAGTTTTTTCTTTGCTCCACACACAAACAATGATGGAATGTGGGAGAATAAGACCCCCTGAAAGCCCTGAGGGAGTGGAGGTGGTGCGCATACTAAGTGGGGCTCTCATGGCTTGGGTTTCCCTGGGCCCTCTGCCTACAAGGGAGGCTCACTTCCTCTTAGCAGCTGTCATTGCCATGCTTTGGGGCTGCTAACATCGTAACTAATGCTGTTGCTTTGATGCTACCTCCTTGAATTCCACTAAGTCATCCCCTAAGCTATGTTTTAATGTATTTAGAGGAATACTTTGCATTGTTTATTTATAACAGACACTACTTCAGCACCTCCTGGATAACCTGCAAGGAAAACATCTGGCTCCCAACTATGGTCTCCTGATGCTCTGGGCCTCCCAAGCAAATGCTGTCCCTGTGAGTACCTGGGTGGGAGCAAGGCCTTTCCTGCTTGGAAGCCTGCACTGGGGAGCACAGTGCTTAACTCCAGGTCACCATGCTGTGTGTATTCCAGGAAGGGATTATCACACCCACCTACATCACCACAAATACACCCAGGTTGCAATGTCGCAGAGGCAGTGACAAGAAAAGTTCGTCCTGTATTTTTCCTAGATCATAATGTCCTGCATTGTAACCTTATGGGAGCTATTAAGCTGCTAAGGTCAGAATCTTAAGCTGTGAAAAGCATTTAACTTCATTTTGAAACACTGTATTATAACAAACACTGTATTTTAAATATTCTGTGTAAAGTGCATCGAAAGCATGAAGTTGGGTAACTTGGCCCCTGTGTAAAACCAGAGTGATTGAGGTGGTTGTGCTGCAGGAGTGCAGCCACGAATTCAAGGCCAGGCTGGATGTGGCTCTGGGCAGCCTGGGCTGCTGGTTGGCGACCTGCACACAGCAGGGGTTGGAGCTGGGGGAGCGCTGTGGGCCTTTGCAACCCAGGCCATGCTGGGATTCTATGATTCTATGAATGCCAGTGCTGTGTCAGGAGAAGAAAAGCAGTAGTTTGATGCTTCTGCCTCTTCAGTTCTGTCTGTGTTGGGAATGGATGTGACAGGTAATGATGGAGGCTGTGCTAATGAGATCAGTGCATCTCACACGGCTGATTCTGACCAAAGCCACTTACTGGAAGTGCTCGGATGAGAATTCCGTAGTGGGAGAGCCGTGCTTTATTTGCTGTGACTGTGAGGCTCTTTCAGTTATGGTACAGCTGTGATTTAGAAGATGCAGTGAGATACTTTTGTCTGTACTCCCAAAGGGGTACCTGCAGCTTTTGTGGGTTGGCTGCAGCCTGCCCTGAAGGAATGTGGTCCATTTCAGTGGGATTTCTGCAGATCCACGTGTCGGAATAAGGGAGAGGCACGGCCTGCTGCCCGTTATCAGGATAACTGGCATTCCTTCCATAATGCTATCATGACTTCCTTCTGTAATATTCAGCTCTAAATAGACCTGCAGATATTTCGCTGTTTCTCAGAATAGTCACAAGGCTCTGGTGAGTGGAATGAGGAAAAAAGGCCTTTCACCTTCCAAGGGGATGTTTGAGAAGAAACTCTTTTATCCAAAACAACTCTGCTGATTTAGTAATTGGTTTTAACACCTCGATACTTGAAATTAATGAGAGGATTCTGTGTTTCTAAGCTCAAAGCCTCACACATAATGTCCAGTGGAGATCTGTACACAGCAGATGGACAGACCTAATCTGCCAGGGTCTGAGCCCTTGGCTATAGATCTGTATGGGAAGCACAGCTCCCCCTGTGTCCCAGCCACGAGAGGCACCTCCAAAAATTGTAGATGTTTTCTCTTTCCTCTCATAGCTACAAAGATGTTGTGATTCTGTTCTGTATTCCGAAGCTAAAATACTCTCATCTCTGTTTAGATTGCATTCTGGACCCTTGTTTTCATACTCTCTTATCCTACGGTTTACAAGAAAGTCATGGAAGACCTGGCTTCTGTTTTTGGCAGTGCAGGTAATGATTCAGATCATGGCCTTTGAAACTCAGCATGGTGGCTCCACGTTGGCCCAGCACGCAGCACAGTGGGCAATGGCTGGGAATAGTGGTTGTTGCTGATAAGGACACTACCAACACCACGAGGTCCAGCTCTGCCTGTTCAGCCTGTGCTCACGACTTATTTTTAAGCAAAAGCACTCTTGGTGTTAGTAAGAGAAGGCGGAAGAGCCATATGTACTCGCCTCTTCATTCTGCACCAATTATTTAGGCCTAGTTTGTTTTTTCCATGCTTTTGTGGTAGGGTCAGATGAGACCTTTCAGTTCAGTTTGGTCTCTTAGAATCACCACAGAGTCACCAAGGTTGGAAAAGACCTCCAAGGTCATCCAGCCCGACCACCCACCACCACAGCATTCCCCACCAAGCCACATCTCTCAGTCCCACATGGCTTAGGAGCACCTCCAGGGTCAGCACCCCACCAAGGTGCTGGGCAGCCCATTCCACCCCATTCCTCTTCTGATCAATGCCATAACCACAGCTACCTTAGAGTTATTAAATTACTTTCGAAGGCTTTTCTTACCAGTGTTGGACTCAAATTGTTCAGATCTTGCTCTCTTTATTCATTTGGAAATATAAAGGAAGGTTCTGGATGAAAACAATGTCCTGAAGGCTCGAGGTATTCTGTCAGAAGGTCCAAAGCCACACATCAGCAGGTTTCAAAACAAGTGTGAAATGGCGTTTTAACATGAAGTCTTCTTTCTCACACCCCAACAGGTAAGGATGACATAGAAGTCTCTGAAGAGGACCTGAAGAACCTCCCTTATGTTAAGTGGTGCACTTTGGAAGCCATACGGCTGAGGTCTCCAGGTGCAATCACCAAGAAAGTAATAAAACCAATCAGAATTCAGGTGAGCAGCGGGGTGTTGGTTGGCTTTGGGTGCTGGGTGGGTTTGGTTTGGTTCTGGTTTGGTTTTTTTGTTTTGTTTTCTTCAGAGGATGCTTTATGATTCTTCTAGAAAGGCCCCTCTGATGGATGTAGATAAAATTAATAGAGATATTCCACAGTGTTACGTGTGTGCTCTGTTCAGCATCACAGACTTAATAATCATTGTTAATTTCATCATTATTAATACAAGCGTAGCTTTGCTCCTCTTTCTCACAGTTGTACCTTCAGTGATAAATTGAAATTAAATAGAACTGAACTGAGAGATATTGCACCAAAGGAATAGGGAATGGGAACCAGACCCAACAAATGTATGAGAAGGGACCACAGCGTTGTAAGGGCTGAAGCTCCTCTTCTGTTTGTCCCCTTCATTGTCACGCAGATAAGAAAGTGCCTGCATTCAGGGCTGTGACAAATGAGTGTCTGAGGGAAAAGCACCCCCTCAAGGAAATGGCTCTCACTGCCACTCTGTGGCCCAATGAAGCCCCATAGAGTCTGCTGTCCTGCAAGGCTTTCTGTGAATTCCTTTGTGTTCCGAAGGAAGCGTCTAAGGAAAGATGCAGAAGGACTAAAATGACACAGTTACATCAAGATGTGGGAAAGACAGAAATGAGGTTTCTGTTACTTGCACTGCTGACAATCTGGGTTAGGACAAAAGGTGTCTTTCCACATTCTCCCCATTTGGGTGTCCCTGATGGAAGAGGGGCACAGCACAAAGCATCAGACATGAAATGCCCACTGTGGCTTTGCCACCTTCCCAAACCTTCTGCCAGGACCTTCTGCTGATGGAGGAGAATGGAAGCAAGGACTGCTTTGTTAGCTGATTTTCTCTTTGTTTTCTTTTCTCCCTTTCAGAGTTTCACCATCCCTGCAGGTGACATGCTGATGTTGTCTCCATATTGGCTGCACAGGAATCCAAAATATTTTCCTGACCCAGAAATGTTCAAACCTGTAAGATGTCCCTCATAATATGGGGATTTTGCAGTCTGATCTCCTGTTCACCTGTTATACCACAAAAGCATCTGGCCATGCTGGCTTCAGGTTGGGTGCTTTCCCTCCTCTGAGCAGTATTCTCATGTGCAGAGATGTGTGAACCTGGTGAGGTTCAACATGGCAAAGTGCAGAGTTTGGCACTCGGGCTGGAGGAATCGCAAGCATCCACACAGACTGGAAGGAGCGGTGCTTGAGAGCAGCCCTGCAGAGAAGGACCTGGGGGTCCTGATAGATGAAAAGATGAACATGAGCCAGCAGTGTGCCCTTGTGGCTCAGAAGGCAAATGGTGTCCTGGGCTCCATCAGCAGAGGGGTGGCCAGCAGGGACAGGGAGGTGATCGTCCCTGTCTGCTCTGCTCTCGTGAGGCCCCATCTGCAGCACTGCGTCCAGGGCTGGGAGCCCCAGTACAAGAAAGACAGGGAGCTGTTGGAGAGGGTCCAGAGGAGCCACAGAGATGAGCAGGGGACTGCAGCACCTCCACTACAAAGACAGGCTGAGGGAGCTGGGCTTGTTCAGCATGGAGAAGAGAAGCTGCGGGGTGACCTCAGTGCAGCCTGCAGTACCTAAAGGGAGCCTGCAGACAGGAGGGGAGTCAGCTCTGTGAAAGGGGAGATGGCAGCAGGACAAGGGGAAATGGTTTGGAGTTGAGGGAGGGCAGATGGAGGTTGGATGTCAGGGGGAAGTTGTGTGCTGTGAGAGTGGTGAGGTGCTGGAACAGCTGCCCAGAGAGGCTGTGATGCCCCGTCCATCCCTGGAGGTGTTCAAGGCCAGGTTGGATGGGGCCCTGGGCAGCCTGGGCTGCTGTGCAATGGGGAGGTTGGTGGCCCTGCATGGCACAGGGGGGTTGGAGCTTCGTGATCCTTGAGGTCCCTTCCAACCCTGGCCATTCTGTGATTCTTTGTATGGGCAGAGGGCCCTGCAGGCACAGCCAGGACTTTGAGGCTCAGGTTTATGTGTCAGATAATACCACACTACCTCATGTCACTCTGCTCCTGATTCAAAGCCCACTGTGGATGAACACCACTGACTTCACTGTTGAAACAACATCCAATAGCCCTGTTCCCTGGCTCTTGTACAGCTTATCTTTGTGTTTCTTTGTGGTTCTTCGGCCCTTCCAGTCAGATGATTTCTGGTCGGTATTAGCTCTGCTAATTTAGCAGCTCATCTCGAGTTTCTTGCTGATTATTCCACCCCAGGTGGCCATGTGGGCAGGCTTGGAGCTGCTCTTTTTAGCACCATCCGCTGTAGAACATTTGTCTTTTTTTAGAAATACATCAAGGAGTAATTGAAACAAAATTCCCCCTGTGGCCAGCTCTTCACCCATTCAAAATCCCTCTCAGCAGTTCCTGCCTCTCTGAAACCCTGCACAGAAACTCTGATGCAGCAACTTATCTCTCTAATAACACTCTATTGCTGAAAACAAGGTCGCTTGTTTAGAAGTCCATTCCTTTCCCCATAGGAATGGGGCAGCTGCCCTTGGACGTTGCTTTGTTTCATCACCGCTGAGATCTTCGTCCGGCTTTTAATGGATTTTGGTGTGAACAGATTTCCTCTTCAGAAAGCTCTGAAGAGCTGAAGCTGTATAAAAATCCCAAATAAACAGACATAAGATTCTGTCTTCTCGAAGGGCTCCAGCAGAAGCGATGGCTGCAAAAAGCTTAGCAGGTGTTACTGGAAGGCTTCGCTGGAGTTGTGCTGAGCTTCTGGGGGCTGCTCTGCTTGTCACCCAACAGTCAAGCAATGCACTTCTGCCAGTGTCAGTCCACCTCAGCTGCAGCCTGGCTGCTCTGCTGTTCCTTTCCTCCTGCAGTGGCTCAGGCAGGAACCAGCAGCCCTCTGGGTGCAGAGGCTCTTTTTGCTGCCATTGCCAAGAGTGTATTTTGTCACCCAGTAGCTCATCCCTGAGAACGGGGTGGTGTAATCTTTCCCTTCCCCTCGTGTGACATAAATACACCTTGGGTTTGTTGATGTGTAACCGGTGTGTAACAGAGGCTGTGATGCCCCGTCCATCCCTGGAGGTGTTCAAGGCCAGGTTGGATGGGGCCCTGGGCAGCCTGGGCTGCTGTGAAATGGGGAGGTTGGTGGCCCTGCATGGCACAGGGGGGTTGGAGCTTCGTCATCCTTGAGGTCCCTTCCAACCCAAACCATTCTGTGATTCTGTGATTCTAACATGTGGGCCGTGCTTTGTGGGAAGGTGCTGCCTGGAGCTCACATCTTCATTGGCATTTCAGTAACTCAAGCAGCAGGTTTAGAGAAATAGGGATGTTGAGGCAGATGCTTTGTAGGGGTGATTTTGAGAACCTTTCCGGCATTTGGAGGGTCTCGGTGTGTTTCACATGGGACCCTGGCTTGTTTCCCTGAGTCACTGCTGGTTTTTGAGGCAGACTCCTACAGTACCAGGTTGAAGGCAAAAAATGGCATTAGTGCAATTTGGGATGGAGGATTAGCTGTTCAAGGTCATTTTTAGCTTGGAGAAATAAAGTTGAGCTTTATTTATATAAGTCTGATTTGGGAAAAAAAAAAGTTTCTTCCCACAGGATCGTTGGAAAGAGGCAAATTTAGAGAAGAATGCTTTCTTGGACGGCTTTGTGGCATTTGGAGGAGGGAAGCATCAGTGTCCAGGAAGGTCAGTGAAACAGCTGGGGTTTATTTATTCCCAAACCCTGCAGAGAACAACCCTCCCGTGCTGGGCTCCTCTTACACTTGGAGATAGGCTGTTTTCATTGTTTCCCTTTGTCAGTGCTCTGACGTTCAGCTCTATCTGGACTTCATTTAGATTAATCTGAAAGTGGCTTCTTTCCTGGAACAAAACAGGTGAAGCCACAGTGTAAAAGCAGAACCTGAGATAAGTGGCCCAAGGGATGCTGCTCAGTGAGAGTCAGCCTAACCCTGCTGCTGCTGAGGCCCCTTTACGTCAAGGGAGAGTTGTTCCACTTAGAGACATGCTGGTTTACAGACACGGGCTTTAAGGTGCCACAAGGCACTTCCAAACAAAGAACATTTCTCTGCACTGACACTCTCTATCCATCCTCTGCCATCTTTGCTAATCTTCAAACATCTTGAATGGTTCCTCTCTGTTTAAAGCCCTTGCGTTTGCATTACGGCCCACACAACTGTATGATGGCTTAAATTGCAGATCCTGCCTCTGTTCCTTCCTCCAGCAATGCCAGCCTCAGTGCTTCCTGCATTCCTTCTGCTGTTTTCTCTGTGGTCCCTCTTCCTGGAATGAGTCCCAAGGAACCAGCTGCTCCACGTTTCTGTGTTAAAACATCCCTGTGCTCATTTCTCTGCCTTCAAAACCCAATCTTCTTTAGGCAGCAAATAAACAAGAATCCTCAAGAGAAGTCAGTTGAACTCAAGAGTCCTATGTGGAGGAAACCAGAGGATGTTGTAAGGGAAGCGTGTTCTTGAGTCTGCACCCTGTATCAGGCTGGGCATGAGCATCAGGTAGACTTTGTGAAGGCATTGCACACGTAAGCAATGTGAGTAAAGCTGTTCAGGCTTGGCAGAGGAAAGTGCCCACTCACTGCTGTACCTCCCCAGCTTGTGCAGTGTTCCTGAGCTGAATGTGAGCACAGCCTCACTGGCAGCAAAGGCAACAGCCGTGTTCACAGCAGGCACCCACAGGGCACAGCGTGCTGCCCTGCTTCTTTATAACACGGGCCTTTGTCTTTGATCTGGCTGATCTCTGGGCTCTGACAGTATCTCTAAAGTAAGTTTGGGGTGAAAATGAAAATGACAGTGTCACTGTATAGGCAGTGGGTGGAGAATCACTTCTGACAGATGCTGTCCTTGCAGCCACACGGTGACACCTCCGCACCTTTTAGTAGTAATTCTGAGAGAGTAACGTGGTGGCCCTGGAAGAAAGAACATTGAATCAAGGATGTGTCTGGATCCCAGGTTGCAGATTTCCATGGCATAAGTGAATCAAATAATGATATTTCAAGTTTAAGATGAGTTTTCATTTAATTCACTGCTGGCATTTGTAAATAAGTGCACCAAACATTTAGCTTTACTCCTCGCATTGCAAAAGCTCATCATGAAATTCAAAGCTAGTGCAATCAAACTGAAAGCTAGAAAATGACTTGTTAAATATCCTAGCAAAGTGGTGTGGGAAGAGCTCCCAGAAAACCATTTCTAAGCCTAAGGGAAAAGGTTTGATGTCCCTAAACCTGCAGTGGGACTTCTGTCTGATCAGGAGAGCTCTGCGGGTGCAGCTGTGCTTATCTCACATGCATGTGTCTGTTGTCTCTGATCTTCTGCTGACATTATAAACCCTTCAGCACAAGAGGTGCCATTTCATTCTCAGGCTCTGTTTGCTGCAGGATCTCAATGCCTGGGTGCCAGCACCAACAGGTATGTAGCAGTGTGCTGGGGACAAGATTCCAGAAGGTGCATCTTTGTCAAACCTCCTTAGCACTAAATAGAACAGGGCTCAGAGCTTTTAGGGGAAAGCTGCTCGAGCACCCAAGAATATGAAGGACAGATGGGAACTAAAGGGCATTCTGCTGCAGGAGAGCTCATGGATTCAGACTGGGATGTGGCCAGGAGGAGAGGGGACCTCAGCCATCTGTTAGCATCCTTGTGCCTCAGCATCTCTGCAGACAGGAGGAATGGCAGCCTGTCTGCAGCAGCACTGTGCAGTCTCATGGTGGGACGCAGAGGCAGGACTTCAGGAGCCAGCAGCACCAAGCAAGGACTGCAAGGAAGCCGCCTTGGTACAGTGCTGCTGGCATGGAGTTTGGGCTAGGAAGTCCTGCCTGACATGAGCTCGTTTCCATTCGAGTATCTCTGCTCTGCATTCCTCTGAGCTCAAGGTCACCAAAAGCACCCAATCTCAAGGTACTGCAATGTGAAACCACAGGGATAATTTGGTTCTCAAGCTGTGTCAAAGCAAGCAGGCATCTTCTCACTGCAGAGCGCTGGGGAGTGCAGTGTGCAGATCTGAATGGTTCTGCAGGAGCTGCCTTGGGTCCCATGGGGCTTATTAGCTTCCTCTTCACACTACCAGGCCAAAGCCAGGCTGACACTGTGTGCAGTCATGCTCTCTTCTCCCCAGTGAGTTTCCCAATAGGTGTTTTATTCAGCAGTTCTCACATATTGGAAAATAAACTGTGTAGAAGAGCAAGGTAATATTCCTATTTTAAGCAGCTCTTTAAGACGTATGTCTAACTCCTGCAGTGAGTAATCCCATGAGCTGGCATAGGTGGAGCTGGTGGCTGAATGGAGGATGTTCTTGTACATAGCAGCATTTAAAAATAACAGCTGGGCAGAGTTCACCTGCAGTTACTGCTGCAGTGTGGCTGGCTGAGAGCTTTGTGAGCGAGTTGCAGGCACACATCGTGCCCTTGGGTTTATCCTGCATTTGAACACTGACGCACTGAGCACCAACTCCTGCTGTCACATCTACTCTGATGTCACCGGGCTCCCAGCTGTATGGCACGACTTTATATAGCACAATTAGTCATAGAGCCTCTTCTATATTTGACTGTCTGCTCAGTCCTAGGGAGTGATTTCAAATCAGTAAGTCTTAGAAGAACATCCATGTTTACACAGTGGAAAAAACCCCTAATGGCAAGGAGTTGTTGTGAAATGGGCTGTCGGAGGCTGTGGCTGCTCTGAAGTGTCCCCAGGCAGAAGGGACGGCCACCATGTTTGCATTCTTCACTGCACGGCATTTTTTTCTGCTGAAGATAAATGCACACTGAGGCATGGAATGCAAGATGTGCAAGAGGCAGCATGCTGCTTGTCTGATAACACGTGTGAGCTGCAGGATGGACACCCACTGCTCTTTTCCCTTCTCTTGCAGATGGTTTGCTATCATGGAAATCCAGTTGTTCGTTGTGCTGTTCCTGTATAAATACCAATTTGTGCTTTTGGATGCAGTACCAAAGGAGGTAAAAGATCTGTGCCTTTTTCTGCCATTCCACATCTTTAAATCCTTCACGCACTGGGCTCAGCTGAACGACCGTTCTCAACTGAGTTTATGTGTAATGAAGCAGAATGCTTTGAGGGGCATTTAAAAACATAGAATCAATAATTTGATCGTAATTTTTATTCAGGAAACGCAGAGCAATTCCAGCAATGCAATGGGACTGTGATGTCTATACAAGTGCACCTAGGAGAGTATTTTATCTCGTCGTTGCCTAAGCATTACAGGAGGTTTTACAATTTCTGCCACTCACAGCAGTTGATGAATTCATGAATTACGCCGTTAGATTATTAGTACCTGAAGCAGGCATTAAATGAGATGCAGCATCTTAGGGACGTGGCTCAGTGGGCATGGTGGTGATGGCCGACAGCTGGGCTGGATGATCTTAGAGGTCATTTCCAACCTTACTGATT